CATGGGACGGTACCTCACCTGCCAGAAGCTCTCCGGCGCCGAAGTTGCTTCCCGCAAGCAGCCGGTTCACCTCCTCCGACCGCCCCGTCGCACCCTCCGTCAGAACCGCCCGCCGGCTCACCCGAATAACACCAGACACGACTATGTAAAACTAATGGGATGAGAGATAAAGGGGATGACAGTTGGTGACAGAAAGGTCTCCCGGTAAGGTTGGGTTAGAGTTTGCCCGTGGTCATCCTTGTTTCTGGGATCAAACTTTGACTAAGGCTTCTTGCTACCGGTGGAAGCGCGCGGGCACTCGGGGAGCAAGGGTAACGGGGTGGGTTCGGGCGTTGAGTCGAGCGATGCTGTAGATAGTAGGGCGATAGGAACCATTGGCCGTTGCGGTCATGGTGTGGGGTTGTAGAGACACTGCTTGCAATGATGACCTAATACTCGCACCGCCAAGCTGATTGAGCGGAATCGTAGAAAGGGATAAAACGCGTGGGGCGGAAGACGTCGAAAGATCCAAAGTGAACCGAAAGACCGGTTTTCCGTTTTCACAGCCAATACTGAGTGCGCAGTCACGTGTCAAGCAATGGACAAGGTGTATAAACTCCCAATCCAGAGTGAATCAAATCGTTTCGGATGGCGTTCGTAACCACTCTATACAATTTCCACTGCGCGGTTGTCGATCGCCAAAGGCGAAGCCAGAACCAGAATGAACACTCCGATACGCTTCCACATTCCCATGTCACCTCCGTAGCAAGAGCATCTTGCGCGGCAACAACTTCACCGTCCGGCACCGCTCTCTCCGAGGTGCTATCAGCGATGTGCTCCAACGTGGCACGATCAAGAGGTCCTTTCAACAAAACGGGGCCGGGGCGCAGGAAAAGAGCAGGTTGGTGCGTGACCCTCATGTCTGCGCGTGGTCGTGGCACCGTCTTGCTGTGTTTAAGTAGGAACAAGTCCAGAGGATTCTTCAGACGCTACGCACGTTCGGCCAATCCCCCGTGCCGTAGCTGAATTCAACCAGTGGGTGGCCCAAACGGCTGTGGAACGAAAAATTCTCACGTGGGAAACCTTTTGGGCAACCCACAAGCAACAAGGTTTTCGTGTGATTGAGAGCGAAGTTTCTGATTGAGAGCGAGATTGCGCGATGCGCTGTAGCTGGACAACCGCTGAGAGGTGGAGCTTGCTGCGTGACTTGAATTGAAGGCCTAGCCCGTAGCTACAAGCCGATACCCTGGTCATCCTGTGGGCGTCTCTCGTTGTGGAGCTACAGCGGGGAGCAGAATCTACAGCAGAGCTCACCGCCCGCGATCAAATCGCCCTGAAACAGTTTGAGGCAGGAATAGCCAATCTGGGGAAATCTAGCAACTTGTCTAGCTCCTAGCTGCAGCATCCGATCGCGATGACACGCATATGCTCGTGACGCTGCTGATGAGACCTTCAATTTGCGCCGCTTCTTGGAAGAGCCCGCCCCCTACTTCCCAAGAAATGGCAAGAGGCGTCTGGACCCGAAATTTCAATTTTTTTGGCTCCCGCTCTCAATCGTATACTCCGCTCTCAATCAGGCGAAAACCCTGTTAAGCATGGAAACATCACCGACGCGCCCAAGCCTTGCAACGTAGCTTCTCAGCATTCCTTCGGCCACGAAAACTGCCATAATTTCAATGACTCGGAGCTTCCACTTCACAAGAGGGCAAACGCGAGCGCAGCAAGGCAGCCGTTGCTCTGGTATTCCATCGCATTTTCGTATCGGTACTCCGATCAGTATAAACTTCAAGCTTTCAAGCTGCAGCAAGCAAGCTTGTGGACTATGTCCCTTGTGGCATGTCTCCCCGCTCTACTTTTGAAAAGCGGTTCCAACGACCGCACGAGGATACACCTTGCATCTGTACCCGTGTACAACGCGGTAAAGCAGGGTGAATAACTTCAGTTTCAAGTCTAGTTCTGTACTTTCCTATGATGTACAACCAAGATGTCGTCAATATAACCAAAAGGTTCAAGCTCATTTGCTCACACGGAGTTTTATTTAGGGTGGGGTAGCCATAAACAGGGCTCACCGAAGGCGGACACCTCAGATATTGCCTTGATGATGATAGCCCTTTCCTTCATCATCGCCCGCTTGAAAGCCTGCAGAACCTCTCCCTCTGCTGCGCTCGGCATCGGTGTCTGTCGACATTGCAGTCGAACCACGGCCCTAACGGAGACAACGGAGGTCGGCATGCGCCATTCTGTCTTGCGTTGGCACACAACATCCGAAGCGCGCGGTGCACCATGCCTGACAGTGCTCTATTGCTGCATTGCTTATCTCCAAAACAAGAGACAGGGCCTCGATTCTCTCATGTAGTTGTCAAGTGCCCGAGATGTCCCGATTCGAAAGCCTCACGCGCAAGACAGGTTTAGGGTTTTGTGTTATCCTGCTGGACGGTCTAATGCCATGAACATAACAAGAGAATGAATACGACCGTATACAATCAATTGTGCTTGCTGCATCATCAAAGTGTCCCAGATAAAATTTTGGGCAATGTATGGACTGGACTATGTGGTGCTAAATAATAGCTGTCACGGGCATCTTGGGTGTTGTTTGCTCTGCAGGAATTTGCTCTGCAGCAACATGATGTGGAGGTGTGTTGCGGGTATCAAGCCCAAGTCTACCATGGCCGGCCGTCATGTAGTCTTCTAGTCCAGAGTCTAGAGATGAAGAATACAGGCACTGCTGAAACATTGTGTTCCTTCAGGTAGCCTGCGCCTATCTCGTGCCGCCAGAGTGATAGCGTCCACGTCTGCGGCTGTAGTCTAAGGTTTCACCGAAATTGTGCCGAACTGGGTACCACAATTTCTACGCTCTCAGCATATGAACTCAAATGCCGCCATTCATTGTGTTCAAAGTGGAATTCCTCACCTCCGTATCGTTCGAATTGGGGTACCGTAGGATATCTTTCACGATACCTACCGTGCTGCATCGGACGTTTTTTTTGTTTGTCCGGAGATAATTTGACCCCGCTTTGTGCGCCGCCAAACCTGGTACATGTTTTACAGCAGCAGCCGTAGCCAGCGCTCGCAAAAGTCTACCTACAAGTGTGTACAGCAGAGGATCACCCCCCCCCAAAAAAAAAGGTAACGACGGCGGGGTTGCTCGTGTAGCCGTCCTGCTGTGCATTCCAGGCGCAAATGACTGCTGCTAACAGCGAGAGACGAGACGAGAGAATATATTCCAGGGCAAAGCTTCATGACCTGTAGATGCATTAGAAAGACTATGAGGTAGAACATGCGTTATGCACTTCGAGGCGCACGGCATTTGTGCCCTTGGTCATCATGTTCTCTGTTTTTGCTGCGATCCAGGTGGTACACCACCAGGTGGCAGGCACACCACACACGGCACCCTTGTACATCCCAAAACAGTAGACACGTCGCACTCACAGCTGTCGTTGGATGTCGGAAGGCATGGGGGCCCACGCGTGGCTCGGAAATTGACGCTCTCGCCCTGTCCTCCAAGATTCGCACCTAACTAATACTGTTGTCGCGGTGGTCGCAGTTGTGATGATGCCCCGGTTGCGCCGCATGGTTCCGCCGCATGGTTCCGCCGCATGTTTCCGGCGGTTTCATCTAGATAGGCCTTTGCCCTTTGCTCCATCGGCCGTTTGATTTTCGATTTAGAAACACAAACTTTATTTCCATACTAATTTCAAGTAAAAATAAACTTCTTATTCTTCGTCATACAAACAAAGCGGCCGATGGAGCAAAGGCCTAGTTTCATCAGCCATGTTACTTCATTTACTTCCAACCTGGGACTTGTAGTCTACGTTGTTGTTGTTGTCTTCACATCCTCTTGTAAAAGCTGAAATCCAACAAATGCTTTGATCCATGCTACATCTCCGTGTTGGAAAAGCCCTTTCATCTCCGTTCATGATAACATCTTACCCTATTCTACGCAAATCTGTCACATCTACTCTCAAACAAGACGCCAACTTCAAACGAAAACGCGTTCTACGATGCGTCTACACTCCATCCCCATATCATTGGCGTTGACTGGTTCGAGGTCGATCTTGTTCGCCTGTTTTCGGCGTCTTGACGCCTGCGCAATGCGAGCTTGTACCTCTGCACTCGCCGAGATATGGCCACCTGTGTAGCCACCGAAATGATCTGAAGAAGTCGTTCCTTGAAGACTCCTTTCAGAGCCATCGTTCCTCCGTCCCTTCCTCCCACGGCATGTGTCGCATTGTAGTGTTGGTGTGTTTTGTTTTGGGTGTTTTTTTAACTTTGTGTCAGGTGTTTGGTTTGTTTATTATTTTCCTGGTTTTGGCAGGGCATATATATGGAGTAGCAATCCCGTACACCTGCTGATCGTATTGTGTGTACGCTATAAAATCTACACTGTATGCAGACAATATTTACTCTTCGTGGGAATGAATACACAGTTTTCCCACAATTTCACTTCGGAGATATTTGAACCCCTGCCATCCAAGTCAGAGGGGATTGTGACCGAAGAATACAGCAAGCTAGGGGTTGCTGTTGATCTTGTGCGCCTTTCGGGGAAACAGCGTTTTTTTGCGTGTGGCGTATCGACAATGTCGACTACACATTGTTAATGAAGGCGTTCCGTACGAACGCGCATATGATACTATTGAGTTTTCCATGACGCCGAGATACTCTGCCATGGACAGAGTGAAGGCGCGATGTTGAGAAGATTGTCCTGTTGCTGTTGATCTTGTGCGCCTTTCGGGGAAAACAGCGTTTTTTTGCGTGTGGCGTATCGACAATGTCGACTACACATTGTTAATGAAGGCGTTCCGTACGAACGCGCATATGATACTATTGAGTTTTCCATGACGCCGAGATACTCTGCCATGGACAGAGTGAAGGCGCGATGTTGAGAAGATTGTCCATATGACCAACGAGTCGCCGGGGGCGGCGCTTGGAAGAGGGCAGGCGCAATGAGTGACAATTGAATATGTGCAAAACAACAAAAAAAGGAAAAACGACCAAAAGGCCGCCCCTAACTTGATTGGCTACATGCGATTTCATTCTTTTCATAAGATTCAATCAACTACACGATGAGGGCACTGGTCCTCCCGGTCCTGGCAAATCTTCTCATCAATGCATTTGACGGGTTCAGAAATGTAGCATGCGTGCGTTGCCGACAAAAAAAGGTCTAACCGGACGGCCACAATCTAGCGATACATTCAAGGTCTCGATCAAATAGGAGGGCCAACAGTGTTCAGCACACCGCCTTACTATATCCCTCCATTCAAGCACCATTACAGGCGCAGAAACGAACGGTGGTTGTTGCTTGGCCGGAACCGGAGCAGAGGATAGACAACTTACGCTAACGTCTGACGGCATCTACCCAGGGTCATGCCTATACACATCACGACCCCGTTCAGTGGCCAAAGAAGACTCGCCGAGGCACGCCGAAAGCGGTGCCGCACGGACCAGTTACGCCATGTTGCCATTATACCTGAGCAGTTGTGTCCACCGGCTCTCTCGTGAGCACCCTTGAAATACACTACACGACCCAACGACTACTACTGCGGGATTTTAATCAAACCCATGTCGCTGAACCAACGATACACCGAACTAGCAAACTGCTTCGACAATATGCCATCCAGGCAAGACGAGGAAAACAACAACATTTCTTTAACCAAGCACCTAAACCACACGCAACTACAACTGTAGAGCAGAACCCTTCCCGCTGTCTCGCAAGCATCGAACTAACGGCCGCCCCGACCCCCGTCATCGAAGACTCATGAGATAAATATTCTCGGAGGCGCTGGCGGGTTCGAAGTCATCGGGCACTCTCCACGCAAGGCCGAGGCTCTCCGCTTCCCCCAGGACGCGTTCGATCGAAATGTTGCGCCGGGCGAAGGCCAGCAAAAACGTCGACTCCGTCGGAGCAGGAACGAGGGATGGCAGCGCCGGAGGCGCCGACGCTTGGCATCGGAGAGAAGACGACGATGCTGGCCCTGACGACTCGGGCTGCGGCGGGTCTTGCTCCTCCGTCTCGTCTTTCGGAGCCACTGCCTCATGAGAAGGGCTGGGGCAGTGGTCGGGGTGCTTGCTGTCGCTGCGCTCTCCTGCTCTCAGCCTGAGAATGTCGACCACGGTGCGCAGCAGCGGGCTGACCCCTTCTTCCTCGTCTGGTGGAATTGTGTCGTCACGTAAGTTTTTCAAAACGTGGGAGAGAGTGAAAAAGGGACGATGCCCGGGGGGGTTCAAGTTAGTACAGCCATATACCTGCTCGTCATCCATTCCTCCTTCGCACGCAAAACCTCAAATTGCACACCGTCCCTTGACGCGAGAGAGCATCGAAATGGAGGTTTCCCCAGGCAAAGTACCGGGTCCATGGCCGCGCCATCCATGATTTCATTGCCAGGATCCAGCGCCGACAACGGAAGCATAAGGCACAGAGACGAAAAAGAGAGTCTTCACAGTGCACGCGCAAGAGGAGCCTCTTTCGAGCCACAAATACTGTAGGGTACCTCCCGCTTTGGGGCCGCCGCCTCTAGACGAGCGCGCCGATAAGAACAGTTGCTGCAAAAGTATGAAAAACTTGCCGTGGGACATCACCGCCTGCCCCGTCGTCGAGAACTATGAAAAGGGGCGGACGCGAGCGTATACCGTATTCTACAACACCGGTTCATAGCGTTGGAAGCCACGATCACATTCAAGTTGGTGTTGCGAAACCAAGCAGTCGCCGACCGAGTCCCCTCAATCATACACCACGCGAGTGTGTGTGCACGAGGGAAAAAAACACGATGCCACGTTTTGGACCGTCGCAACAAAACGAAAAACAAATGAAACTGCTGTACTCCCCTGCTCTTCTTGTGTGTGTCTCAAGATTCCCCAACCCGCGAAATCCGCGGGGGCGTATTCCCGTTCTACATGGCGGAACACCATATCCACAATCTCCACCGCCCTCAGAAACCGCTTGACCTCGGCGATACCACAGCTAGGTGTAGTCATGCAAACCATGATGCGGGACAACGACTACGGTTGGTGTCCATGGTTTCTCACATATAACATCGGCCGCCACGACGAAGTCGAATCCTCCCCGGTTATCTCCGTCATTGACGCCGTCGGTGGTTCGGTCGCTTCCACCCCCGTTCCGCTCCAAGAAAGCCTCGTGTTCTCCCCACGTTAGTTTTTCCAACGCTACCCGCGCCCCTCTCCCGGCCGCCGCCGCCCCCACCGCCGCAGCATCACCACCACAACCAACGGCAGCATTGCTGCCGTTTCTCGCTGGCGAATGGGCCAGCAGGTTACACGAGTTCTTTATCAAGTTTGCTCTGAGTGCATCCATGGCCGAGTTTGTGAACTCCTCTCCACCGTCCGTTATCACAACCTACGTCACGTCACGGCATGGGCAAACGATTGGTTCAGCTGTGTTTTTCGGGGCACGGATGACAAAGAACAGCCTCGAGCTTGTAGCTAACGACTTTGCCGTCGACTAGGTGTACCGAGGCATACATTGAACATCATCTTCATCAAAAATAACACATGTATACAACAACAGAGAACGATGCGAGGTAAACGGAATACGACCCAGATCGGAGAGCTTCAACTAAACCTTCTCCCCGATCGAATGCAGTCAAGCGACACTGCTCTGCATGCAGATAAAGATTCATGCCCGCGGCCGCGGTTACTACTCGACAGATGCCGCGGAGAGGAACCGAACGGCATGCAGCACGCAATCTGTAAGCATCTCATGCAGCGTGAGCAAACTTGCACGACAATGCTTACCGTTCCGCCGGTGCAAAGCTTGGACGCAAGAATGCCGCACAGCCCCAACCCCGCACCCAGCTCGACCACCCGTTTTCCTGCGAACCACCGTCTGCACAAAGCGCAGGATGAGGCGACAACCCACCGTTACAGCGGGATGCCATGGAGGCACAGAAGCAGGGGGGGATGGTGTTGAGTCACTGTTGATCAGTGAACAAGGCCAACAGCGGTGCTACCGCGACTCATGTCTGTATGTGCTGGCACGCTTGCCAAGGGTTTCGATGTAGTGTGAGTGTAGTACAAAGTGGCGGCCGACCCCGAGTACCTAAACGTACTGCTGCGCCCGCCCGTCAATGACAGCTTGCCTGATGATGGCCCTGTCGTCCCGCCTTAAAACCGAAAATACTAAGATGCCCTTTCCTGCTTGCCTGCACAAAGGCCATCGCCTCCCCTGCTCCCCTTGTATGGTATGCCATGAGTGTCAGAGACACATCCTAAGCTCTAGCACTGTCACCGAAAATACTCGCCCACAACTTCCGCCGGCGTAAAGAGCATTCCCCAGTATCGCTTGAGTGGTTGGCAAATAAAAAACACACGAGTGTCAGATACCTGTGCTCCCACATGAAGCGCGCCATCTCCTGGGCAGCCCTCCACACCGTTAGCCCGGTGCTGGCCAGCGTCTGTCCCAGCTCCGGGTTGACGCCAGCCAGGGCAATGCAAACCTACGCCAAGAAGCACCGCATTCACGCGCACACGTGGGTGAAATGTTAAAACATGGGGAACAGCAGAGCCAGTGAAAAGCACGCACACACGATCGGGGATCGACAAGCAACGCAAATAACAGAGAAGCACTCCAACCGTCATTGACATAATCTTGAGAATACTGTCGGTGATAGTGAAGGGTAAACTGCACGGTACCCCCAAAAAACCGATTCCGCACAACTCGCCGCACCTTCGCCTGCATAGACCCCCGGAACAACTATTTTCACGGCAAAACCGGTACCAACCAACACGCAACAAGATTATTCCAAGACGATTTTACACAGGTGCCCGCCCCAAGGCCACAAAAGTAGGTACATCGCAAGGTTCGGCTCAGAACTTTGCCGTCGACAGTCGGCCCACGGTAGTACGTAATGCGTCGGAAAAAACACTACTTCGCCATCGTCACCTGCGGCTGCGACTGTCACCTGCTCGTCGTCACCATCGTCCCCGAAAGTGAAGGAAAACTCGTGAGTCCTCTTCTTGACGTCCATACGCTCCTGCACCTGGAGCCGCACATCGACAACGTCGTCGTCGCCTCCTGCCGGACCAACAGGGGGGAGGGGTTCTCGAGGCGTTCGAAGGAAGACAAACGCCGCATGGTGAACTACTTTGTACTATGGGAACTAGACAGCACGCGGAAGGCCTAACAGCACAATCATATTAGTCTTGGACTCGGACGGGAAGTCGATTCACTATCCGCCGTTGGGAACAAAGAAGGTAGATGCCCGTCCTCCGACACAAAAAAAAGTCAACGGATGAAATCGGCAGCAAAAGCGCACGAGCTACCACTGGTGGGCAACCATCGAATCCACAAGCCGATGACAAGGGGGAGCCAGTTCACCATCCTTCAAGATTCCATCCGAGAACCTCCTCCCCCCCCCCCCCC